CTATGCCTACAAAAATAACGTAGACAAAATGATAACTGCAGAAAATGTTCCTGGTTCAAACGTGACTTAGGCATGTTAGCTGAGATGTTCCAGTACCAGATCTGTTTGCAGTGTAAGGTCTGGGTTTTTACAAGTTAGGCCATGCAGGTGTCATACAGGGGTCTGTATCAGCAGCTCTTAGGCACAGACTTTACCATAAGGCCACCACATTTTAGTGCAGGTAATTCCAGCTCCCTTGTCATGAGTTTGGGCAGCTATTGAGATTTGCATGAGTATATTAATTTGTTAGAATAATCTGTCATCCCGCTCACATGCCAAATGGCTATTTATTACAAAAGTGAGAAGCAGGTATTGCTTAAGCCACCGCATCAGGACAGAGACTTTGGGGCAGTGGCAGGGGAAGAATGAAACTGAACCAGAATGCACGGAAAGTGATACAAACAGCTTTCAGCATTGCATCTGGACCACCAGCAGCATGCCTGGCTACAGAGGAGATTCCTCTCTGTAGTAAAGATGCATGAGTAAAGGTTGAATGAGACCTTTGCTGAGATGTTAATTCGTAACAAAGTGGGATGCCGCTATGTATGCCTTCAATAGGGAGATAGGATCTAGGATGTGGAAATGACTTGGGTAACATGAGACTGTTGAAATACATCATCTCGTTGGAGACTAAATTGCTTGAATTGTGGACAAACTGAGAAATAAACATGTGAAGATCTCATTTCTTCTGTGTGGTAGGATCCTTCTCCCTTTTGAAGGCAAGCAGGCGTGTTCCCTTGTTCTGAAGACCACGTGGGTTTCATTACCTGTCTGGCCATGGCCGGCGTTTCACAGAGCACTCTAACAAGGACAACCCGAACGAAAGCTTTTGGTGTCTGGACATGCCTATTAGATCCAGAGTGACTGGCTGTTGTATGGGCACAACAGGCTGTGTTGGGGAACATACTGCACCTGAGCGCTTGCCTTCCCCACCTATGCGATGTATAAACGCAGTTACAAGTAATCAAGTAGCTAATTCAGTCCTTATATGTACAGTCAAACGTGTTCTAATAGTGAGGGCAGGGAGCTATTTCAAGATCACAACAGGTTTAAATAGATGGTAAGGCTGTAGTAGTAAGCTGGAGTAGACTGCTAGTGTGCACCTTAGTGCTCTCCTTCTGCTACCGTAGGAATGACAGACCTTTCTTTACTATTGCTAACTAACGGGGGGAGTGAGTAGCAGCTAATAAGTATTGATGTCAGCTTTGTTAAACATATAGAAAGAAGTGGAATTAACTAAGCTACTACAAGACAGTAGTCTAGCAACAATTAGCATGAACCTTGTTAAACATTTTAAGAACATTAATGAGCTCACCTAGAGACCTGAATTGTCATTTCATACCTGCTGCTTTTCCAGTGGGATCACTTTTAATAGAAATAAAATGTGATAATAATAACCTTAAACTGTCTTTTTAAGGGTAGAATATTGGATTTTATGACTTCTGAGGAAATATATTGGCAATACTCTTTGGCTTTTGATTGCTAGTGAGAACACCAACACAATCTAACTTAGATGAGTATGAACTTGAATTCCGGGTTCCAGTGGGTTTTGTGGGATTGAACGCTTGCTTTTGTTCTCCCAGCCCTCCTTTTCCTTTTTCCTTTCAGGACTGTTGAGATGATCCCATTTGTAGGATTTTCCAAAAACTAAAAAAAAAAGGAATTCGAACAACGAGCCCAACTTTTAATTAAAGCCAGTTGCTTAAAGTACCTCAAAAATCTTTTGTGACTTAATTTCCATTTACTTTGAGTATAGACTTTTAAAAATGAAATCACAATATCATTATAAAAACAGCTCTTGCAGCCAACACTGACTATCTAGGGAGCTGTCTTGCCAAGACAGAGAGCTTCACTAGGCCATGTATGTTTGCATAATCAAAGTATTAACAAGACAGTATCGCATTCTGGAGCCATTTCCATGTAATCTGTGGCTGCCACTGCTGTTTGTTTCCCCAAAATTTTGTCTTTTGAATGTGTAAACTAGCTAATTTATTTTTACATTGCTTCTGTTGTGTTTTAGGGGATTAGTTTTCACAAAACTCCCCTCCACATTTTTCAGTTTGGGGCTTGTGGAAGGGGGAAACTTGCCAAATACACAACTGACTGGCAACAAATGAACTTCTGTGTGTGGTCAGTTTCCAGTGAAATATAAATGGTAAAATGTTATAGTTAAAATACTTTAAAACATAGGGTTACTCTTGAGAGTCCCCACACACACACACACTTTATTCTTGAACAAATTAAACCTGATACATTTAATCCATGTTTTATGGGGAAAATGGGGCTCAGAGTCTGAGTAAATTGGAAGTTTGAGCATGGAAGGAGCAACAAACCCTTGGCTCTCCTGTAAGTGTGCTGGAAGATGGGGAAGCTTTTTAAAAGGCCAGTGCTGACCAGCAAACAGCTGACATGCTCAAACGTTTATCTTGCAGCTCTCTCTGCTTCTTACATATGACCTGTGAGAAGAGTTCTTGCACTTCTGAGGTTTTTGTTTGTTTGCTATATAAAGTAGGACTGTCTGAAAGTAGAATTCCTTTTTTTTCTTTTTTAATCTCACAAAACACAGCAGTGCAGACTCCTATACTGCTGAGCTGTTCTTCAAGGACTCTTGCAAACTTGAGTCGTGCAATTCTCAGGAATCCATTACTTTCTCAGTCATCTCTTGTGTTTTCAGGATAACCAAGATTTGAATTGCTGTCCCTCCTAATACAGGGACCACAGTACCACCATGCTTTTTAGAACGCCTGCTTTTATTTTGTTCAAAGAAAAATTAAAAATCTCTTCTGTTTACCTCCTCCTCTCCATACAGATTTTCTTATCCTTAAAGAAACGTAAGTACCTTTCTGAGCTGCAAACTAGCCAACAGCTCTGAAGGCTACACCTTCCAAAGTGTTACTTATTGTGCACAGTGTTAAGCAATACAGGAGAGAGACAGCAGTGAAACTTTGGCAGTAGGTTTTAGGCTGCTGTAGGCTGAATAAATTCATTGCTCTGTATTTCTGAAGCCAGTATTTTCCAAAGCTGTTAAACTTACAAGCCAGTTCAACAAGATGCAACTTGTCCTTGGGAAGGAACTTGTTGGAAGATGTCTACAGAGCCCTCCTCTCGTTAATGGCTATCTGGGCCAGCTCACAGCAGCTTCAGCACGCTGCGTTAGTGTTGTACATGCATGATTCAGCTCACCATTGCAAATTAAAAAGGGGCAATTATCCTACATCTGTCCCATTCCAAAGAAAGCTGTGGGAACTTATCTTCTGTTTGGCATCTTTATGTATTAGCTGAAAGCAAAATGATAACTTGCACCTCTGACCCTTCTTGGATCTGTCACGTGCACTTCGTTCAGCAACCTGCAGAGTTGGAGCCAAGCCGTCTTCCCGGTGCCTTTCTTGGTGGGTGATGCTTTGGATTGAGCCCTGGATTTCCAGTCCTTTGACAAAACTAATCCACCTTAGCAGACCTCACCTCAAGCAAGGGTTTAACTGACCTCCTCAGTGCAAAGGGCCACTCAATTAGAAAAAAAAACTCTTGAGGAGCTCTGCTAAGCAGTGTCAGCCTGTGCTGCTGCCTCTGTAATTCAGCGTCTGTCTTCCTCTGCCAGAAGTCCCTGAGAAAACTACATCTCCCAGCAAATTCATCTGCAGAGCCTCTTTCAGCTCTCCTTCCCATAAGGAGTTTCAGGCAAAGCTGTGGACAACCCCTGACACCTTTTCTTCCTAGAAGAGCCTCTCCAGCACCACGAGCTCTCTTGCCTGCCAGCCCTGCTGCTTGGCTGCCGTGCTCTGGCCTGGAATCTGCGTGTCTGACATTGCTTTCCAAGTGTTTTTCTGGTTGTCCTTACGAGAGCTATTATGGTGTTTTCCTGTTTACTTCTGCAGCACTCTGTTATATTTAAGCGGTGTAGTTAAATCAGGAAATTCTACACCTAATACATGGTAATTTCCCGTCGCTGACCCAGTTGCCTGTAGTGCTTTGTGAAATAGCTGCACTTCAGCACTTGGCGCGCTGCGTCTGCGCTGCCTGTCGCAATTGCACAGCGTAACGTGAGCAGTTTTATTGCAGGAGGAGAGGCAAACCTTCCATGCCTTTTTGTTAAACCATCCCTGGAGGCCTGACGGGCCAGCTCTGGTGAGCCTTGCTGCAGCACTGCAAGGTGTTGCCGGTGCTGGAGCAAGAGGGGAGAGGAGCGCGTGCTGTGCTCTCCTCCTCTGCCTGCGCCAGGAGCTGCTGCCCCATCCTCCTCCTCACCTTCACTTTTGAGACTCCGGACTTTGCACTGGCACACGTTGGGTTCTGCTGCCTCCACTACGAGAGGGTCACCTTTGGCAGAGGAGTGGGGCTGTGGAGCCGGGACAGTTTTGCTTTAAACTGGTGTGCTGAGGCTTGCCAAGGCTTGGTGGTGAGGTGGGAGGAGGAAGGATCTGGAAGGAAACATGACTGTGTACCCTGAGCTCTGACTGCCTCCACCTGCAGAGAAAATCAAATTGTTTTTGTAGGAGTGGTGCCTGAAGACTTTAAGCCCTTTTTTTGCTAACCCTTCACTGTGGCTAATACCCATTTTAAAAATAAAAGGTGTAAATTTAACATTCCAAAACCTAACTGATATCCAGTATTCTACCCTTAAAAGCTTTTCACGATCAAGATTAGAATCATCAGTCCATCTTGATGGTTTTAATATGTGGTCGAGAAGTTACCCGTCTTGCGCTGGCATCAAGTCACGTCATTCCCCATAATCTTTGTCTTGGTTTTTTTTAGCCTTGTTGTTCATAATTTCCTTTCCAAGTGTTTCTTTATTTGAAATGCCATTTATATTTTGTTGCCTTTTTTTGTTCCAGCACATCTTACATCTTTGTTTTTGTTTTGTTTTTAATCTTATTTCTGGCGTTTTCCATCGCTCTGTGGCCATGATTGTGGATGTGTTTTGGTTTTTGCCTGCCTTGCTGTTCTCTCGCTGCACTCCCTAGATCCCTGTTGCACAGTCCTCTGTCATGGATGACATTGAGGAGTGGCTCAGTACCGACTTGGTGAGACTCTTTATATATTCATTTTTCACATGGGCAATAGCACTTGTACGGATAACTTTCAATGCATTGCTGAGTTACTGGTACTTCTCGTAACAGGAGGCAGTGGAACTTCCAAATCATATAGCTCATTTCCCTTCGAAGGGAATATCTAAGCAGCAGGAGGTAGGGTCATGTTCAGCAATTCAATCAAAACATTTTTTTTCTGAGTTGTTTTATTTTCACTTCTCCATGTTAACATCACAGAACAGCATGTGTTCCAGAAATCATGTGTTTCTGTCCCCATACAGGAAGACATTTAAACATGTGCTGAAGTTTACCTGTATTCTCCGCCAGACTTGAAGTGCATGTTTAAGGCTGCATTAGCTTTGACAGGATCTAAGTACATGCTTATTTTGAGGCATGATTGCTTGCCATGTTTCATAATAGTAATAATAAAAATTTATAACACTCTCTTCAATGTTGATAACTTTCAGTTTTTCCTATAAACAAACAAAAGACAGAACTAAAAGTAGCTTTTTCTTCATTCTCAAGTTTGTTTTGCTGTACCAATGCACGTTTGATTTAAACAGTGGTACGGCTAGTACGCATTTCTTCTGGTCTCTTTTTTTAATGTAAGCATCTGACTCAAATTAACCAAGTGCATTTTGGGGACTGGTGGTGGGTTGCGCTTCGGACTGTTCTTTTAAACATGGTTTTAGTGAACTGAACTGTTTCCTTGTGGTCACCATATCCCTACGGATTTTCTCTTTCCGTTACTTCTTATGACTTCAGATATTGTCCCTAGATCACTCCCTACTCCTTGAGGTCTCCCCCAGCCCCTTGTTATTGCCTGCTCAGGGTTCAGGCTCCGTTCCCCAGCTCTGGCAGCAGTGCTGCAGGCGTGCTCTGGCACGTCAGCCCTCCGCTCCAGCACCGGAGGAGCTGACTGTACTGCAAGGAAGAAAATGCTCCTGCTCTCCAAAGCCGCCTGAAGTGCTTAAACAGATTCTGGGTTTCAGTGTTCAAGTTTGGCAGGCTGACTGGCTGTCTTTGAAACATCACTGGTTTTCAGCTGCAGGTAGTTTTTTCAGGCCTTGGTACAGGCAGTCATTTTCAAATTTAATTACAAACTGGCCTCATTTTGTTAAAGAAATACAGTAAATGTAGCATGCCCACTCTGCTTAAAAAAAAAACTTTTGTCTTTGCCATTTAAATTAATTTAGCAGGAGAGAAGATCTTATGGAGAGATATCGAGGTAGCTCTGTACATCTGTCATCCCCTAGATAGTCTTGCTCAAAAAGAGCAAAGGAGAGAAGTGCCGTTTAAATGCCCGCACAAGCCTGGAGATCTCATGCGCTGTGGCTGTGACTGTACCGGCTCCCCTTCTCCCTGGTACCTGGGTCCCCATCCTGACTGTATGTGGGTGCAGCTTAGAGATGCCCTCTGAGAAAGTTTGGACTGGATTTTTGTTTTTCACTCTGGGTTCCCCCCCTCCTTTTTTTGTTAATGGTTCATTTGAGTTCTCTGCTTCCCAGCTGAGGAAGTTACAGATCAGGTTAGCTAATTGTCGTTTATTTCTTTACCCTTTTTGGGGTACATTGGAGCAAACAGTACCTCTGCATGTGAAGCAGTGGCTGCTGTGTGTACCTTAGGAAACCTCTGTGCAGTTTACTAGAAAGCTAGTAGATGCTAGGTGGCATTAAAATGGCATTAAAACCTTTTGTGAGGCCAATCAGTATGTTCCCACTCTCCTGGGAGAGAAACCAGGGTATGGACAAATACTTCTCTTTTTCAAAGCAGGTCGAACATGAGGTTTTCAAGTAGTATTTTCGTCCATTTTGAACATCCTGGTAAACTGATGATGCCACATCCTCAGAATTTTGATTTCCTTATTAAAGCACTGCTGGAAATTCACATGTTGAAATGCACACGGCTGGTAGAAATGCACTGACCCCCCTGCATCCCAGCCTTTGTGTCTCATGGACAGATACTAACTGCCCATCAGTATCCTTCGTCTAGCCCACCCTGGCCTTGTCTTTGTAGAGCATGGACACCAGGAAAGCTGCTGTATTTTTGTATGAAATCTAAAACGAACTCCCACTCCGCACTATTTTGTAGCGTGTGTACTTTGTCAGCTAAAAGTGCATTTTATTTGAAGACGCAATGCAAACTACAGTCCTGACTTTTTAAAGGACTGTGTGACAAAAGATGGCATCTTGTACAGTGTTTGTATGACTCACACAGCTCAGTTTTTGACCAGGCCTACTGTCTGAAGTGGAAGCTGGGCTGCCATTCAGGTCCAACGGGGAAAGTTTAGCTCTCCACCAGCAATCTGCAGAAGCATCTCTAGTGCAGAGATGCACTCTCTCATCCTTTTGCTCCGCAGTGCAGTGAAATGTCAGTCACCACTGGCCTCCCGACACGGAAGCCGTGCGATTTTCCCCAGGTTGCCCTGTTCAAATAGTCAGCACATGGAAATGAGCGGTGGTAGCTTTCCAGTTGTATTAAATGTGTGTAGAAGATAATAGTGAAGGTGAAGCGCTTGCCTGTGTGTTCACATGCCTTTTTGTTCCAATTGCAGAAAGGAGACGAACTGGAAGAAGGAGTGACCAGTGAAGGTAAGCAGCGATGCCTGTGGCTATGAGCCGTTCCCAGGTTAGTGCACAGACTGAATTATCTGCTTTGATCCCTGCTGAGATGTTGACTTCTCCAAGCCTGATGTTCCCCAGCAAATGCTTCTGCACTCGGAAAGGCGGGAGGAGAGCATTTCAGAGCAAAAAGTTAGTATTTATGATGTGAGGAGCCCTCCCGGCTGTAAGTGCTTTCCTGCCATCTTCCTTGGCTGTGCACTGTGTTTGTGCCACCAGGAATGCATCCCCAAGCTACTCAGCCCTTTGGAATGATGTTTCCCTGCTTCTGTCGCAGCCGATGGCGTAGCGTGGTTTGATTCCCTCTGCTGCCTGAGCTAGGGTGTCTCAAAGGACGTCTGTACTTTTTCCTGAGGAAGTCGGTCTGTAGAAGTATGTGTGCCTGCAAACACAGCCCGACGGGACACCAGGCGCTGGAATTTCAGACCCTACTAACCTCTGTCCCCAGGGCTAAACGTACAGCTCCAGTTCTTACCTGTCTTCCTTCTTTTTTTGCATTGCAGAGTTTGACAAATTTTTAGAAGAGCGAGCCAAAGCAGCGGAGATGGTTCCCAATCTGCCATCCCCTCCCCTGGAAGCCCCCACCCCTCCGACAAATCCTTCCAGCAGGAAAAAGCAAGAGCGCTCGGAGGATGCCCTCTTTGCACTGTGAAGATTGCTCTTAGCTGCCCTCCCACCCCCGTGTTCTGCAGGCAAATGTCGCTGTGCAGCCACTTTGTCCTCCCACAGTACTTGGCTAACAACGACCCTCTTCCTCCCGATTTCATAGATTGCTTCTCCTTCCCCCTCTCCCCAAACAATCCACCCCCACAAGCTGACTCTTTCTATTTAAGTCCAACACTATTCCTGCCAGACCACGATTCTCCAGCACTGCTTAATCCCATCCTTCCTATCCCAGCTGCACAAAACCAGCTCTTGATGCTGAAAACCCCTTTAGAATGCATGAGTACGTCACACTGTGTTGAAACAAAAGCCCAGAGGGGAGAGAGCAGCCTTGCCCTTCAATTTATGTAGGGATCATCCTCTTCTATAGGCAGGTCCTGCCAAGTAGACTGCTCTGTCGATCAGCATGTAATTGCCTGAGCTGGAATGTTCAGGAGGAGTGTGTCTTTATTTTTAGATAAAATGTTAATGTATTGGCTTTCGTGTCAGATTCGACAGCAAGGAACAACTGTTCCCCTTTCAACATGTGCTTCACAAGTTAAAATCCTTTACTCTCCCACTCACACATCTCCTGGTACCATATGGTGGTCGCTTTTCCCCACTTTGTGCAGCACTTCATATTCTAAATCTCACAGGGTATTTTTTTCCTTGTGTTTTATCTGGGCTTGCTCTAATTTGAAAGCAGTCTGTTGGCCATGTCCAGTAGCTCTGGCAGTTGACGAGAATGAAAAACGCTGAGCTAAATGGATGCTGTAACGTTAGCGCATGAAGCATTTTGCTCTTTGGGAGAGCATTCTCACATGAGGATTTTTTCTAGTGTGTTTGCCTTTTAAAATAGCTAGGTTATTTTTTCCTTACCTTAGATTCCTTCTTCAGTGACTGTAGAGCTCTGCATTTGTGTCAGCTGTTGTAAATAACATCCATGCAGATGGATGGGACTTGCTCATGGACTGGGTGTGAACTGAGGTTCCTGGATTCCCTGCCATGCCTGGTAGGATAGACATGCCAGTTCTTGGTGGTAGGCATGAGAAAAGGAGGTAAGCCCCACACAGGCTTGTACAAAAGTGCTGAGGGAGATGGTTACCATGGAGGGATTAGCCATGCCTGCCTGTGCAGGAGGTGAAACTCCTCGTTTCCTTCTAGGTCTGGGCCTGAGAAAGTGTTGGATGATTGTGCCCATGCTATTTGTAATTTTTGGAGTGTCCTTTGATACCTCTGCCCCTTTATTAACTCCCAGGTCCTACGGGGCCGCAGTCTCCCTCCTGTCTGTGCAAACAAGCATATTCCCTTGCTTGCCAGAGGCATGGCTGAGAGTGCTGCCCTTCCTGGAGCTGCCAGAAGGGATTCCAGCATGTGTGCCTGCCTTGCTGGGCTGACAGGCAGAGCTGGAGCAGGCAGCTCCAGCCATCACTGCATCCCGCAGCATGTTCTTTGGTAGGAAGCCAGTGGTGCGAGATGGCAGTATCAAAGAGAGCACGGAACGCTGCATGGCGGGGAGAATCTCCTGTCCTGACAGAGAGGCACTTTATCAGATGAACACCCATGCAGGCAGCAGCGCTCAAGCCCCTCTTCCTCAAGGCGCTCATTGTCTTAGGCAACCAGCCGCTTTGTTCTGACTTGGCATGTCTGAGCTTCCCAGGATACTGCTGTGTGTTGAGCTCTCTCAGGAGTTGTTCTAGACCAAGAAGCTGCGCTATAAGCAGCTGATGTGAAAGTCATAGAAATTTTTATCTCAGCATAGTTACTTCAGCTCATAACATACTCCCTAGGGTACACCATGCTTTGGTAGGTTGGGACACATAAAACCTTTTACCAAATGGTCCGATTGCAACACTGATGGTCTTTTGAGAGTGCTCATGTTAATCTTCAGAGGGAAGCGTTGCTTGGTGCAGGATTTCCAGGCCGTCCCAGGTCATATGTCACTCTGTGCTGTCCATGCTCATCCTCTCTGTCCTGCCCTGCCTGCGTCCTCTTCCAGGATCTGTCTGTACATAGCTGGGCCCAGGCAAGGCTGCCGTGCCACCCCCCTGGCACTGACTTGGCACCTCATCGCTGCTCCATAGCTCACTGCTCCCTGTCAGCTCTGCGCTGTGCAGAAAATAGCATGGCTTGCAAGTGGATGGGGAAAATCAGTCTAAGGATGGAGATAGCTTGGGGATCAAGCTGCCTCTTCTCCCTACTTGCTGGCCTTTTTCCCAGTTGAAGCCCTTCTGTGTGGGTCTGCAGAGGGTTTCTCTCTATTTCATCTGCTCTGGGGCTAATGGAAAGTGCCAGGACAGTCTGCCTTGGTTGCATGTATGCGCTGCTGCTCTCGCCCCCCTGCCCTCGCTGTTTGGCACAAGGTGAGCCCAATACTCAGGCACTGGCTGCCAGACACCCCACTGCCAGCTCCTGCCAGACCCTGCCTTGCTGCAGCACGTCAGATGTGGCCACCAGCTCCCAGAAACCTGAGGAAACTTCTGTTGTGTGCTGATTTGATTTCAGACAGTGTCTGGTGATTGCCTGAGCAGACTTGCCAGCACAGAATGAATTGTTGGTATTCCTGTCAATGCAAAAAGCTCTGTGGGTGTTTTAAGTGTGTATTTTCTCTTCTAAATCTTTGAAACACATTGACCCTGTAAATGGCTACATCAGGTGATTCTAAGCATGTTAATCCAGCTTCCCTGCCAAGCCGGAGGAGATAATCGCATTGCTCAAGCATGGGGACATTGTCAAATGATGCTGAGTGGCAAGGATATCACCAGCGCTGTCACCGAGCCCCCCTGCAGAGTCTCACTGCTGCGGATTTGCTGGCCCTTTTCCCTCGCCCCTAAGCAAAAAGGGCAGCGGGGGCGTATGCTGTTAACGCTGCTGCTTTCTGTTGTGCTAAACCTGTCCTGGGACTTCCAAGTTGTTGCTTTAGAGAGAATTTGATCCCTTTCTGGAAGATCTTGCAGAGCTGTCAGTGACTGCTCCCTCCAACCGGGTAGGAAAAGAGTTGAAACAAGAAGGCTGGGTCTGAGAGGAGCGTGTGTTGGCGCAACTCAAGGGACTCTCTTCTGTGCTGGCAACGTCAGGCGCTCCATGGTCCGCGCTGACGCCCCACGTTATCTGCTGGAAAGCAAGGGCAGTGTTTGCAGGGGGTGGCAGTGCCGTCGGCACAAGCAGTGGCTTTGCTGGAAGTAGGGCAGCACTCGGGAGATGCCTTCCTTGGGAGGTGTGTGCCCAGCCTGGGGCAAGGGCTAAACGTTCTTTTGCTGGGACCCTTGATGGGTCTGGCAAAAGCGCAGCCCTGCCGTGAGTTCAATTTGGAGCCCAAATCCATCAGACCTGGCTCTTGTGGCCTGAGCACGTTGGGGGCTGGAAGCACCAAAGGGGACAGAGCATGTGGCAGAATGGATGGTTTAGCCCAAACCTTCTTTAACAAATGTTAAGAGCTACGCTAGAGCTTCCCTAATGTCCTGTATCAGGATCTCTCATCTTCCCCATCCTCTCGTGGTCTGCAGAAAACCTGAGTGGTGGATACTGTTTGAGGGAAAGGGAAGGGGTTTTTCACTTCAGAAGACCAACCTCTCGATTTATTCTTCCTTTGCTTTCACTCTGAGTGGTTCCTCTGTGCAAGTGGGCATAGGGCTTGTGTGGCTCCGATGCTTTCGAGAAGAGGGATGGAGCTGCAGCCTGATCCACTTTCCATCCACTTTCCATAAGAAATACCGTCCCAGCGCTTTCGAGGCATATTAGGAATCACAGCTTGACTCTCAATGACACTAAATTATTATTGGGGTCCTTTGTAAGTTCTAATCATACCCTATTCTAGGTTAAAATATTTATTTTGTCTATATATTTTCTTTTTGGTGTGTTTTTTAACCTCTTCTGTTAACCCTTCATGTACTGAGATGTAAGAAATTAATGGTTTCTATTTAAATACATCCTTTCGGGTTTTTTAATTGTTATGTGTAGATTTCAGCTGCATCCTTGGCAGGTGTAGTAGATAACAATGTGCTGTACAGACATTTAGGGTGTTTAGTATGTAGGTAAGGCTCATAGGAGAATTGCTCATAAAAACGTAGCACGGTGTCTCTTAAAGGGAACAGCATAAATGCAGAGACCGGTCCTTTCTGGGACCCTCATGTAGCCTCCAACATAACTTTCCCCTTCCGATTATCACAGCCTCCGTCGCTGAAATGTGCTGATGAAATCAGCTCTGCCGTTTCCAGGGCTGTTCTTACACCTCCAAGCTGAAGAAGGATTTTAGTGGGGGGTTCCATTCGTTAGACTCCGTTCGGCTTTTTTTTTTTTAATGGGATACATTGGCTGTTTCCACTTTTAAATGGAGGACTCAGCAGAGCTGGCTGTGGTGGCGAGATGTTTCCCTCCAGTGGTGGAAGAACAGATCCAGACGGTGGTTTCAGACCCAGGGCAGGGGTGATGGTCTCCCTCTGTACACGGCCGCAGGAGCTGGGCCCACGCTCCCTCGGCACCCCGGCCAACGCAGCCTGGTCCTGGTCCTCTCTATTCAATGCTCTCCTGCTTTCATCCATGAGGACAGGACATGCAGACCAGGAGAGCAAACAGCAGCGTTTTCAGCAGTCTTTTTCATCCGATGAGCTGCCAGGTCTGTTGCGGCTGCTGGGAGTCCTGTGGAGTGGGAACTGCTTGTGCTATCTCCATCCCCAGGCCAGCCTCAGCCGGCTCAGTCATTGTTTACCTCCTGAACGCTAACCGCAAGGCTTGCGGAGCCTAGCCCGGAAAAAAACAGCTCAGGACAGTTATTTTGATGGAAATAATGAAGCAGGCAAAGAGTGAGTGGATTTATAGCCTTCTTTGAGGTAACCCTTCAGCTGCTGGGGGCATCCACCCCCCCCGGCCCACCAGCAGAGAGGAGGAGGAGGCCGGAATCCCCTTGCCTGGCACCCAGAGGCGTTGCTGGTGCCCACGCAGCACCGTCGGCTCATCCCTCCCGATCTGCAGCCTCGGGAGTGGGCTGTGCCTGGCTGCTCCGTGCCCAGGCGTCCAGCCCCAGCCTCCCCGCAGCGTGCGCCAGGTTGCTCCTCCACCCAGGGGAGAGGTGAGGCTGCGTTTCACCGAGAGCCGGCTGGCTTTCGAGCGACACCGAGCTCCGGTGCTGGTTCTCTTTAGCCCACGGCAAACCTGCGCCAAACCCTGCTCTGTGTTTTTATGAGTACGAGCTCCTCATCCTGTACATGTTATTATGAGCTATCGTTAACCCTACAAATGTAACCTGTGTAATAGCTTCTCTGTATATTACAGCTGTAGGCTTTCCAGATAAAAGTGGATAATATTTATTTACTGAAGATACTGGATATTTTTTTGTTTGGGAATGGGGTAGGGGGAGAAGGGGGACATAACTGTTTAAAGAGATTGACTATATAAAGAGAAACAAAACACACAAAAAGCAAAGAAACCCAACACTAAAATGTTGCTGTATTCACGTAAGGACGATACAACTGTATTAATCTGCCATTGTTTAACTTGCTCCAGAAATCATCTCTACTTTGGTTCCTGCATGTGAGATACTCCAATAAATACACTACTGGTGTGACCTGGAGGATGGTATCCGTCTGTCTCTCGGGTGGTGTCCCGCTCTGCTTCACTGCCCGGCCTGAACACACGGTACGAGTGAGCGCAGGAGACACGCACAGTCTGCAGCTGCCGTTGGGTGCCCGTCAGATGTCAAAACACGACACAGCCTTTTGGGGATCCTCTGTTTCCTCCAGTTGACAGAGACCTGGCTATTCTCACCGGGAGAAGGGTTGTCCCCAGTAGAAGATG